CCTTCGAAGAACTCTCCCGGCTGCGACTCGAAAAAGTTGGGAACCCGAATATTGACGTCATCGCGGTTACTCAGTCTCCTTCCCTACTAAGGAAAGCTACGCTGACCTGAATAAATGGTGAATGGACGGTGCCAGATCTGGGCTAAATGGCGCGGAAGGCAGAACGTTCCAGCTTAACTCCTCGATTTTCTGCTGCGCTATTTTCGCAACACACTCCGCTTGGCAAGTGTCGTTTTGCAGCTGCAAAATTTGGTTTTGCACCGATTTACTCTACCAATCACTCGTAAATGACAGAATTGCAAGAAAATTCTGATGAATTTCGCCTTTGTGCTTCCTGCCTCCTTTTAGAAAACGCAGCGGTCATCGCAGGCACTGCCGCAGGATAGTGCGCCTCACTGTCGAGTATTTCGCACAGAACACGATAGAACTCCTTACCCAATTTCCATTGTTTGGGTTATGTCACATGCACATGTCCACACGATGTTTCTGACCAAACGTCTTCAAACAAAAATTGTGGCTTGAATTCAAACATTCACAGGCAGATACAACATCGTAAAGTGCAGTTGGACACAGTCTCTCGAATGAGTGCACCCGCCTTGTGAGAGGTTGTGCTATAGCTCAGAAACTACGATGCAAATAGGAGCGACATTTCAATCTGGCCAACCTAATAGAAGGCGCACATCGTAACAAAAACTCAGGACAACATTCGGATTGGAAAGGCATGCGCTTGTGTGACGTGCCTCTTCCACACCAGTCAAGAGCTTTCACCACCTTCTCAAACCGCAAACCCACTAGGTGGATAATGTTGCCCGGAAGTTAATGTAGCTACAACTACTTGGAAAGTTTGCTTTGTTCTAGCAGGTTTGTATACATGGCTGCATAAAGCCGTGTGGGCAGGGCTAACTATCTATGGGGCGGAGCTTCCCCAGAGGGCGCTTCGCACAAAAACTGGTCAAAGAGGTGGCATTCTTGATACTTTTATGAAAAGATCTTACGTTCTTTGTACCATGTAACAACTAACTGAAGAATATTAACAAATCACGTTATGAAAATCAAAGAAAACCAACCACAGCGTTGCTTGCAGAGATGGTAGCGCCGTCGTTGGCGTATGGCTCCGTTATTACCCAACTGACGCCGTCTTCCTGAAGGCAATACCGATTTGACATGGTTGGAACTGGGAAAGCTGTGATGTGTCCAACCTACCTGGATTCTAACTCTCAACACCTGGCTAGGGCTGCGAACTCTCTCATCAGTTGGATTGAGCGTTAAAAGAAAGACCTGATGGAGCACAGGATGCAGAGCCACCCAAATGTCGCCTAAACATCTATGAAGTGAAACGTGAGAAAGCGACCAGTTTGACTCTGATGGGAAGCGCCAAGTACCAAGTAACGTACACCTCAGACTAATCGTGAACGCACAGCACTAGTGCGCCAAATACAAGTGAGTAAGTTGGATGACAAATATTGATTTCGCTAAGGCAAATCTATCATCAAACCTACAAATCGAAGACATCTTCAGCCGATTTGGCGGCAGTAAAGAAGTTGAGCGGTATACAAGGTGTGAGAAAAAAGACGAAAGAAGAGCGAAGAAGGTCAAGTCAAAAGACTACGGGTGCCGGATCCGAGAAGGTCCTGCAACGGAACAGGTGTTTGAGACAAGGATTACGCCACTAAAAGTCAAATACACATCCTGAGATCATTTCTACTTTGTGTATATATCATTCCTTATTTGTTCGTTGAGTTAGTCAATGAGTGCCGCCAATATCTATTGATGCATAAGGTAAGCGAAAATTATCGACATAGGGTATCGCCATGCATCGTTCGGTCATCACAGGGCCCGGCGCATTGGGAAAAAATGATAGATGCTTAAGAGAGCTTTTTGTAAGAAATTCTTCATGGTGGCTGTGTCGGAAATGTGAGACCAGATAAACGTACTTGTACAGTTATAAGGCTGAGTCACTAAGTTGGAGCAAGCTTGCAGAGATGAATTCTACTGATTACAGGGCGATGGCGAAGGAGGCGCGCGAAGCGGCGCAAAACACAGTTTATTGAGAGGATCGACGACTTCAAGATCGGCTGCCCCGTCCCCCCTCCAGACCCAGCGTTTCCGTCAAGACTGCTATATCGTTCTTGCCTTGACACTATGCAGCCGACCCAATAAATATGTCTGTTGACTGTCGTCTATTACGTTAGAACAAGAAGGATCCTAATATCACCATACTTTACTGCGCATTGTTCGGGTCTTTGTTCGCCTAATGTATATGTTTTACGTTGATAGTTTGTTTCTTCGCTTAATTACCCATGTTTGAGGTAAAAGAGAATAAATAATTTTCCGAAGTCGTGTCCGTGTCGGTGAAGTCGAATACCGCGTGGCAGTCGCGAATATCGGTGGAGTTGTCGAATTTATTTTATGGTGCATCGCTACGTTGTCGGAGCTGGACCGCAGTTCTAAGGTGAGGCCACATTTATATAATCGTGCGCCAAAAATTGCAATTAGTTTAGTTTTTTCACTAATTGCGCCAAATCATTTCATTACTTAAACTCTCCTCTATTTCTTTTTTTGCTCTATCGGGCGATCAAAAACACAAAGTAAGGGCACAAGGGAAGCCACAAGTTTCCATTTTTTGAATGTGAAATTTGCGCCGAAGAAATCCCCCTTCTTTGCAACCTCACTTCAACTACCTCTTGAAAAATCCACAACCCATTTGGAAATTCTTTGTTTTTCTCTATTCAGAAGAGCAATTTCGAAGGGGGAAATCAGAATTGGCTCCATCTCTCTCTCCTTCTTTCTTCAAAAGTGGCGCACTTTGTTTATCGTACAGTATTAGTGCACATTTTTTACAAGAAGCCTGTCTAATTAAGGCACATCGTGTGAATTTTTCAGTTTCAAAGTTTTAGAAATTTAGCTTTCTGTCTGTTTTTACAGCAATTAGTGCACATTGAGCTTTTCCTTTGAGCCTGTCTTTTTGAGGCCTGTTTTTCTCTGTTTTTTCTCATTCCCACAACAGTTAAGAAAAAAAAACAAACTTCCTGCAGTAAAGCATCCCCTTTTTCGGAAATATCAATAATTCAGTGCTTTAAAAATACACCCATGTGCGCCACCTCAAAGAAAGGGAAGAAAGCGGGCTCAAATAATCACATAACAAATTCAACACAAAACACACGCTGCAAGAACCAACTATGGCTCGACTAATATCCCTTAAATCACAAGAGACCCTTCTAACCCAGTACTGTGATATCCTCCAAACTGTTGTCAACAAAAGCGAGGAGTGCACAAAGGATCGCTGGGCGCCATGGGACGCAGTGAAATCACAAAGGACCCAAGCGACGGTTTGGGAGCTGGGCGCAACGGCGAAGCTGGTTAGCGAAGCACTCGCTAATTTTACAGCTACAATGGACGCACTAACTGACCCACTTCCGGAAGAATACAACAAGAAAGTCCAAGCACAAATTGAAGAAACGCACACAACTCTGCAAAGAGCCCAGAAGCTAGCAATAGAGATGGAAGCGAGCCGCATCAGCGCCCGGGATCACGCCTTCACGAATCCAGGAGTCAGTTGGCAACCACGCAGCAGGGAGCGCCAGGCCAAACCTTCCACCAATCCCTGTCCCGATCTTCACTGGGAAAGAATGGGAGTACGAAAACTTCTGGGCTCTCTTCGCAGCTAATGTACACAACCAACCCTCACGCCTTTACAAAAGTTCAACTACCTACTCAATGCTCTTCGCGGAGAAGCACGTGATTCAATTCGCAGATTCGCCGTCACCGAATCCAACTATGAACACGCCATTAAGTTTTTGCGTGACAAATATGGTGATGAATCACGGCTAGTATGTTGTCTACAGTCGCGCCTCGAGAGCGCGAAGGCACACAACACATCGCTCGCGGGACAACGCATCTTCTGGAGCAGCTCCTACCGCTAGTTACGCAACTAGAAGAAAAGGGAGTCACACTGAATGGATCCTTCCTAGTACAAAAGATTCTGGCGAAATTCACCAGCAACATTCAGCGCAAAGTTTTGGAGCACCGAATGGCCTCACCCATGAAGGAGGATATGTGGAAAATGAAGGACATTCTCACCGACATCGACAAAATCATAGACACAGAAGAGCGCATAAACCGAATGGTACACAACCTCGAACAGGACAACCGGATGCGCTCAGAAGGCTCACAGGGTTACAAAGTACAAAAGACCAAACAAAAAGGGGGACCTTGTATGTTTTGTAACTCTCAAGAACACAAAGCGGCAATGTGTCTGAAGTGCGACACGATACAAGGAAAGAGAAGATTTTTTCCGGGAACACAACAAGTGCCTAAATTGCGGAACAAGTGGACACTTCACCAAGGATTGCACAAAAGAAGGATGCAGACTGTGCGATGGGAAAGAAACATCACCACACCTTATGTCCACAGCGCACGAAACCGAACCCAGCAACAGGCACAGAGAGACGGAGATCAATTCTCAGGCGGAACACTTTCACGAGACACTACAAGAGCGAAAACACACAAACAGAGAAATAAACAATGCGCTGCGCATATGAGACGGCGGTATCGAGCTATGCGAAGCGGGAGTACAAAGACAATACCTACTTTCACAACAATACCTACTTTCCCTGCGAGAAACACACAAGCGAGAGACATCAGATCGTCGTCTAGGAGGAGAGATTTCCACAGTTAGCGAGCGTCGTCCTGGTTACCAATCCGATGGTACCAAGGAATGAATGGAAAATGGGTCGGATAACAGGAGTTAGACACGGCACCGATGATGAAATAAGAGAACTTGAGGAAATAGCTGTCCCTCAATCTGGTGATCCTTTAGAGATCCGTAGTTCGCGCAGAAACACAAGACAAGCACTTCAGACACGGAATTTATTGCCGGAAAGTCAATGGAGGCTTAGAGAAATATGATGGAACGGGCACCCTCTTTAACTGGAGCCCGGAAACCCAGGAACTACGCGCAGAAGAGAAGTTGACAGCTATACCGTAAGTTAACGGCGAGCTCGACGAAGTGGTTTCTTTTCCATATTATGATCCTTCTAACGATCCAAACCACATTCAGCAAGAGAACATGCTTCATGAACACAGAACACACTTATAAGAGGACACTACCCCACTATACTCACGTTGCAAGGGTTCGAGGAGGGCGCACAGAGAGTTCTATTCAAAGATTTTTGAGCAACAACAAGTCAGATAGCCCCCCCCCCCCTAGAAAAAGTTGCTTTCGATCATGAAAATGCACACGGAAGAAAAGTTTTTTTTTACCATACCATACTCCCTTACCATACATGTGCAAGTAAGGAGTCGGCACTCGAAAACAAATTCAAATTGAGGCCATTTAGGAAGAATAACGTCATAATTCAAGTATGAAAACCTCGCAAACAATCGAATTACCCACCAAAATGTTTCAGATTATGGAATACAAGGAATTGCGCGAGACACAAGAACAAATCAAGCACATCAACGAGTACGTTACTCGAATCCACACAGCAGTTCTAGAAGTCAAAGCAATACTGGAGCAGCAAGGTCAAGCAAAACCAGAATCGGAGGAGGGGGGACAGCTCCTCGACGGAGCAAAGCGAGAGAAAGATCATCGCAAAAAATGTGGAATTTTTGGAGGAGCTGCAAACAGACGATGAAATAGAAGGCGAGGACGTTGAAACGGATGCAATCTCGGAAAGAGAAACCATTCAGCATCGTCAAGATGAGAGGAAAGCGAACCAATCGATTGAAGAAGACATCGAACTAAAGGAGGCAGAAATTTCCGAATTAGAAGAGCTGATTGACCAGCTTGAAAGAAAACCCACGTGCGCGTCGCGCATGTTCGGGCAGGAAAATCTTCGATACGAGGATAAGTTGGTAGCCTGCGCATTTTGCGAGGCTATCGGTGTCCATTATTCCGACGCATGTCCATTTATTCGTACGGTAGAGGAACGGCAGAAGATCCTTATTGAAAAAGGGAGATGCGAACGATGCTTGGAAAGGGATTGTACGACGGAGAGCCTTACGTGCAGGAAGTACTACAGTAAGTGCTTCCACTGTAAAAAGGAGGGCCATCACTCGGCCTTATGTCTCTTCCCAGAATATAGTGACGACATCCAGGCGAAAATTCATAACGTATGTCAGTACTTGTATGAAGTGAGAGTACTCCGCCGCGCCAAGCGGGCCATTCTCCGTAAAAATTAAGGCAAATTTCCTTGATGCACCGATACTACGCTTGTTTTTGATTCTTTCCAAAACGACAAAACGCACACCAAATTGAGGGGCGGAATATCGCGGTTTCGCGATCATAAATAGCAAAGGTGTGAGAAAAAAGACGAAAGAAACAGCAAAAAAGGGCTCCAGGTTAAAGCACTCGGGGTGCCGGATCAGAGAAGGTCCTGCACGGAAAAGGGTGTTTGAGCGGGATTCGGCACCCCGAGCCTAAAATCAAATCAAATTGATTATTTCTTACTTTGTTTCATTCCTTTTGTTCTGTTTGAGTTATGTCAAATGAGTGTGCGCATAATATATGTAGTGATTGCAATAAGGTAGAGCGACGATTCGTCATGTGGGTATTCGAAATGAATCGTTAGGGTCAGCTACAGGGCGGCGCATTGAGAAAATTGATAGGATCGTTAGGGAACATTTGTTGTTAAGAAAATTCTTTCATGATGCTTTATGTTGATGTTCGGGTTTATGTTGTTCGCTAATGTATATGTTTTACGTTGATAGTTTGTTTCTTCGTTTAATTACCCTAGTTTGAGGTAAAAGAGAATAAATAATTCTTGAAGAGTCTATCCAAAAAAACATTATAATTTTGGACGGTGTACTAACCTACGAGGCAACAACGCGAGCAGATAGACGAGAGAATAGACTCGGAATGAGAGTACATAGGGTACGAGCGAGACGGAGACGCAAAACACTCACGAGGGGGGCGTGAATGTATGCCATGCACAAACCACTAACGCATTTCCCACACGACATACCCAGACACGGTCTACTCGGCCCGGTTTTTCCAATGCTTCTGATCACTGCGAAAGGAACTACTTTCTTACCGGACTCTTCATCTATATGCATTCCAGCGGGTGAGGATAGCAAAGAGATCTGCGTTCGGAACGTGAGCGAGAAATCCTTCTCCAATTTGTACACACGAATATTCTGAACATGAAATCAGTGGAAATCTAGAGAAATGAGGTAAAATGAGGGAATACGGATCTGATTCGAGTCACTGCCAACCTCGTTAAGCATGGAACCGACGAAGACCAGCTGCCGCCGTCGATCAATGGCGAGCGCTGAAGGTGAGGAAAGTCGAGACTCTTGCAATGAGACATTCCGCCCATCGAAGAAGTACAACGCACCGAAACTGCTCTGAAAGAGATCTCATATTAAGTGCTTATTCGAGAAGCTTCATAGCTTGCAGGACATGCGGGACCGGATCGCATACTGACCAGGGCTACAAGCCTCGCACCCATCCTGAGTGAATGGTACCTGTGTGATCTAAAAAATCCAGCATAAGGCCACAGTTGAAGGAGTCTTTTACTCTCAAATTAGGAACTGCGCGTTCCGGTGAAATTTCAAATTTCTACATCATAACCGAATTATTTCCCCACATTTGAAGGCAAATTCTAGGATCACGTGGTAATTCCATTTGAAGGACAGTAGGAATGCGAAGTGAACCTCAAGTCGAAAAATTTCTTTGTACTACGCTGCGGATAATTTCGAGAAGCAGACGACGAGAAAAGAGAGAGTGTGGGTTGCGGAGAGGGGAAAGACGTTCGAGTCGAGAGAACATTGCACGGCAATATTTCGACACAGACAAAACATCTTACAGTGGGCGGGTATGGTCCGACCAGGTGTCGGCGGACTGGAATCATAAGCGCCCTGTTGCCTCAAATGCGTGAAGGTGCTAAGTTATTGCAACCTTTACGGCTCCGGAACCACGTCCACTCTAAGAGACCTTCTTAATGGCCGAGCCCGGACCTGGCCTGTAAGGAAAATTTGGAGTTTTTGAAGGCGCAAGCCTTGTAGATTCAATTTCGCCCGCATCTTCGCAAAAAGCGAGCATTGAAGAGAATATTTACGTTTCAACTCGCTGTTTCAAAATTCCATTTCACGATCCTACGCAAGACGCTAAAGCGAGCATTGAAGAGAATATTTACGTTTCAACTCGCTGTTTCAAAATTCCATTTCACGATCCTACGCAAGACGCTACCGCGTTCAATCTGCACATTTAAGGTTACTTAAAGGCAAAAGTCGGGCTCAATAAGGGGGTATTATGGCGATTGAAACTGAGTATAGAGATGCGAAGTGGAACGACAGTGGAGAAAAACTGAGAAAAACCGGCGTTAACAAAACCCTCTTTCCCACTAGCAGTGAAGGAGGCTGGCTTGGGGAAAGAGGCACGTACAAACAAGTTTTCTGGAGATGTCAGTCGTTCTATCGGTTGATACGGCAATCAACCTAGCTGATTTCACACGTTATGCCAGCCACGCACCACTTCCGGAGGTGGGCGGTCCTGGATTGACCAGGCGGCCCTGGATTGAAACCGAACGCCCCGGGGCCTTCGAAGGGGGAATTTGGCGGGGTGCAATGTGTGCAGCTACCCACATACAACTCCAGGCACGGGAATTACTTCTCTAGCGTGCCTTGAGCCGACCTTTGCCTTTAACACATTCACGACGACGCCCCTTTTCCACTTTTCGGTCGCGTGGACGGACGCGATTTTGTGGGCGCCGCCGCCTCACCACATAACCGCAGATTTTGTTTTGTAAATGAACAAAAACATGAATGTCACAAAATAATTTCTGCAATGTCCAATGCGTAAAGATTATCTAAACATATAACAGTAGGATTTCGATCAGAACGACAAATAGTGGTTACGAAAAGAGAGCATTTATTCACTTTCCCCGTGAAGGAATTTAAAAGCATTTTACACTCGATTACGAGGTTTGCCCACCTATCTGTCCATTCCTAGCGCCTGGCAAGCGATTATCAGTTGGCAGCCCATATGGGCTGACATCGTCCAGGAGCGCATGTTGTTGGCAGCCCATATGGGCGGCCACCTGGGCGTGAATGTGTTAAGGATTACACGACAAGAAAGAAGGTCGAAGGAAATATAACTCACGCAGTTGAGAGACAGGCAGACAGGGTGCGGACACACGCAATTCGCTTCGAATGGTCTCGCGGCGAACTAGCATGGCCTTCCCTTTGGCGCCGTTGGCGGGATCACCCACCATAATACCACTCGCTGCAGGTCTCGGTCTGGCGAGTGATTAGATAGCAAAGAGAGGTAGTGTTGAAGAGGACACAAAATGGAGAGTCGCATCAATGCGCAAATCAACGGGCAAGGAAGGGACCCATTTCTCGAGTTCGGGTTATGACATGATTTCTTCTTCATCGCTGCTCCACTGACCACCTCTACCCTTATTTTAAGTGAGCTAACTTTTCATCGTAAATTCTGCCTTCAAATGGATGGCGGCCGCAAATTCAATTGCCAGCCTCTAAATTTACCCTCCTACCGCAGGCACTGCGGAAATGGTGAAGAGCGTTAATACAGGTCATGCTTGCGCATGACCGAGAGGGCGGCGCTCAATTAGAGAAGCAACACCGCCCGCTAACTGAACATCATGCGCCGCCTTTCTTTAATCGCGCTTTCCGCACTGCCCGTGCCGGCGCAAAATATGAAGGCAATTGTCGACGACGACGCCTCAATCAGCCATGTGGCCACAGCGCGGATAGAGCAAAGCGTGCGAACGGTGCGCCCTTTGCGAAGCCTGGCACCTTTCCCTTCGCTATCTCTTTCGCTCCACTCGAACTCCTGAAACAATACTGCAAAATATGGAAGTATAGTTACCTGCATCATCAATTCGGCCGTTTGCAAATGACCTCTCGACATATAAGCCAGATTGCTGACGAAGAATCTATCCGCACCAACTACTACGATGTCCGAGATGCTGCAATAGATATGTTGAAGCACTCGGCGTCGACCAACCTCTCTGTAGGATGCGGCACGCATTCTACTTCCATTTGTACATTCGTGTGGCATTTGAATGCGATGTGGCCTATACAATGACTTGCGGGGGCCAGCCGATGTACAAGTCAGTGTTTTTATCCTCCCAGACAAGTCTGGTACCAATTAATCCGACCCCGGAGGGAATGAAAGCATGGTTGGCACTGCTTAGGACTTGATCCCAGGACCGTGCTCGTGGTAATCAGAGCCTTTTGTCACTACACCACTTTCGCCCGGAGATGTTATGAACTCGAAAAATTGGGCGAAAATCGAAAAATATCCCAAAGATCCTGAGGAGCCTCACCTCGAGAATCCTGCGTCGCAAACAGATTTCCTATGGAAAAGAACATTCTTCTCTTTGTGATATGTGAAAATCTCCACGCATTGCCGATTCGGATGGGTGTTGACGACGTACAAAGAGATTCGCCCTTTACTGTAGTAGGATGACAATCCAAGTGGAAGGAATTGGTCCTGAAAAAGAATTCTTCAAGAATTTATCTATTTATATTTATATATCTATTTGTGATTCTCCAAGAATTATTACTTTTTTATTTTCGAAGAAGTAAACTTGAGGAACGTTTCAGAAATGACAATGCTCAAACTTTTTGGGGAAGTCAGCGATCTTTTCTT